TAAGCGAATCGGGTTTCACCCATTGACTTTGCTTGTCAGAAGCTGGCTGGGAAGGTCACACACAGTGATTATGGGATGCCAGCATGCTGCAGCCGTTGTAAATACCTGCCCACATTTTAATTATGTGACGGTGGGGATGCTGAGACAATCACAAGTGTGAGGAGCAGTCATAAGTCACTTTTTTTCAATGCCTTTGTGATTTCAAACAGTCCCTCAACAAAGGGTTGTAAGTCGAGGGTTACCTGTACAGGTAGTCCTCAAGTTACGACCATAATTGAGCCCAACATTTATGTGGCTAAGTGAAACATTTGTTAAGTGAGTTTTGCCCCATTTTGTGACTTTCCTTGCCGCAGTTGTTAAGTGAATCATTGCATTTGTTAAGCTAGTAGCCCGGCGGTTAAGTGAATCTGGCTTCCCCATTGAGTTTGCTTGTCAGAAGGGCGCAAAAGGGGATCACATGAGACCCGGGACACTGCAATCGTCATAAGTATGAACCAGCTGCCAAGCGTCTCAATTTTGATCACACGATCATGGGGAATGCTTCAAAGGTCGTAACTGTGAAAAATGGTCATAAGTCACTTTTTTCAGTGCTGTTGTAACTTTGAGCGGTCACTAAATGTCGTAAGTCAAGGACTACCTGTACAGTGTAGTACAGGGGTAGTCAACCTTGGCCCTTTTATGACTCGTGGACTTCAACTCCCTTTCCCCTCAGCATGGCTGGCTCAGGAATTCTGGGAGTTGACGTCCACGAGTCATAAAAGAGCCAAGGTTGACTACCCTGGTGTAGTAGCTGCCTCTGAGCAAACGTAGCTATAATAAATATCTCACTGTTACATTTCTAATGGAAGGATTGATGGGGGTCCACCAAGCAGGACTGATTTCAGGATGATTGGCATAATTGCTACAAGTGCTTGGTGCCCTCAGGGTGTTAGAAACGCTTACCAGCCTGCAGAACTGAAATTCATCTGCCTGCTTTGTTTCCCCCCTTTGCCAGTTTTGGTGCACCGATATCCGGGGTCTTCAAACATGGCCCTTTCATGACTTGTGGACTTCAACTCCCAGAATTCCTCAGCCAGACACGCTGGCTGAGGAATTCTGGGAGTTGAAGTCCACAAGTCATAAAAGGGCCAATTTTTAAGATCCCTGACCTATATGTTCTTTGTCTTTAGCTGAGCCTTGTTGCTTTTCCCTTTGCATCCCAGGGTCGTGAGCTCCTGGCTTGTGCTCCCACTGGCTCCGGGAAGACGTTGGCTTTTAGCATCCCCATTTTAACCCACCTCAAGCAACCGATGAATAAAGGTTTCAGAGCGCTTGTGCTCTCGCCCACGCGGGAACTCGCTAGTCAGGTAAGGTGACTTTCATCTTCTAAATTTGGCTTAAAGATACGTTCAAACAGGCAGCGGGCTGTTCAAGCAAAGCACAATAAGTATGGATGAAGGTGTTAGTCAAGGACAGGGGTCTCCAAACTTAGCAACTTTTAAGACTTATGGACTTCAACCCCCAGAATTCCTCAATCAGCATGGCTGACTGAGGAATTCTGGGAGTTGAAGTCCACAAATTAATTTAGAGTGGCCAAGGTTGGAGACCCCTGGTCTAGAAGCAGGAAGGCCCAGGTTAATGGCTATTCTCAGGCACAGAGGTTCTCTCAAATGGGGGGGGGGAGAGTTAGCCCAGTCATTCTTCACCCAACCTACACCACAGAATAGTAGCGATAGAGAAAAAAGGAAGGAGAGAGTTTAGTGTTTAGCCTCCAGTCGAAAACCTCGAGAGAATCTTCCCCCGTCTGGGGAGAATTTGTTTTTTTTTTAAACTGTACACAGTTTGTGGAAGTTGCTTTAGTGCAGTGGTTCTCAACCTGTGGGTCGGGACCCCATTTGGGGTCGATCGACCATTTCACGGGGGTCGCCAAACAAGGCTGTCCGCCATTTTTTTTGTCCGCCATTTTTTTCCCCTTTTCCGGCGGGTGCCTTACCTCCCTTGGGCTGGGCCAGCTGGTGGTCAGCCTGCTCCGTCTCTGCCGCTTGCCAGCTACGCCTCGGCCGGCGCAGGGGGCGGAACCACGCATGCGTGGCGCTCCCGGGCAGGGAAAGTCCTCGACTTACGACCGGTTGGGTAGTCCTCGACTTACGACCGGTTTAGTCCTCGACTTACGACCGGTTGGGGTCGCGGCATTAAAAAGGTTGAGAACCACTGCTTTAGTGCATGCTGATTACCACTTGTCTTTTATTAATTTGTTGCCCAGAGTCAGATCAGATTGCAGTAGTCTCCCAAGTACTGTTAGTGGAGTATAAATCTAACACAGGGGTCTTCAAACGTGGCCCTTTTATGACTTGTGGACTTCAACTCCCAGAATTCCTCAGCCAGGCACGCGTGCCTGGCTGAGGAATTCTGGGAGTTGAAGTCCACAAGTCATAAAAGGGCCAAGTTTGAAGACCCCTGATCGAACAAATAACGAATACATACGCACCCATGTAAGCCACCTTGGCCTTGTTTATTTATTTCATGAATTTGTATGGATGCCCATCTCATATGCCTGATGGGTAACGGCTGAAAAACAGAATAACGATATAATAAAACAAGCAACCAACGTTTAAAAAACCAACAACAGAAATAACATAAAATAATACAGCAGCCAAGACCATCTCAGTTAACTCAACCACGATCAAGAAACAGGCTCGCCCATACCCTCAGGGCCCCGGGCTTGACGGCAAAACCAGGTTTTCAATGTTTTGCAAAAGGCTAGCAGGGTTGAGGGAATGAGGCCCCAAAGGGCAGGTGCCAGAAATGGCTCTGCTCTTGGCACTCGCCAAATGGCACTCTTGCAAATGGAACTTAGAGCATGCCTCTCCCGCGGCATCCCCCATGATGGGCAGATATACTGCTGGGGTGGGAAGGGTACAGATAGTCCTCGGCTTACGACCACTATTGAGCCCAGAATTTTGGTCATAAGTCGTTAAGCAGGATCCCGCACGACCTGAGTCAAATTTAGGACTCTTTTTTTTATGAAGGTCGTTAAGCGAGTCATGGCAGTCATTAAATTAATCATGTGGTTGTTAATCGAATCCAGCATATCTGATAAGTGGCGTTTTTTTGACGGTTTCTGCTGGAAAATGGCAAAAAAAACCCATTGCAAATCACAGTCATGTGACTGCAGTTCACTGCATCCAGTTGTAAATGCGAGCCAATTGCCAAATGCCTGAAAAGCGAAAATGTGGCTGCAAGGTGGGGTTGCAGCAGTCATAACTTTGAGGACAGGTCGTATGTAGCTTTTTTTTAAATCTGTGGTTACCTTGAACCGCCAGTCATTAAGCGAGGTCTACATGTACATCCTCAATGACTATCCTCCAGGTAATGTAGCAAATCAAAGTGGACCACCATTTTAATAATCTTTGGTCAATATCCCAGTACACTGCAAAAGGATTCGATTTCCTTCTCTTCCATTACGATGGTCCCTGTTGTATTTATTTTATTTTCTTCTTCTGAAAATAACAATGACCCTTCCGATATTTAAATCTGTATAATAAATATGTGTCTCGTTTCTCTCCCTTTTAGACCCACAGAGAGCTACTTAAGTTGTCTGAGGGTATCGGCTTCAGGATACATTTGATTCACAAAGCTGCTGAAACAGCAAAGAAATTTGGGCCAAAATCTTCTCAGAAATTTGGTAAAGTAGGAATGAATAGGGACCCGTATTCAACTCCATCTCCTTGCTTTTTTCTAGCTGTTCTTAACTGTTGCTTTTTCTACAGATATTTTGGTGACTACTCCAAACCGACTTATCTATCTGCTGAAACAAGACCCCCCAGCCATTGATCTTACCAGGTAAAAAGGAATAGAAACACCCCCCCTCCACCATTTTTTAAATGTATGTCTACATTTGGTGGTAGTTGCTAAAGGATAGGCCTGCAGTGTTAGTGCTGTTTGTAGATTTAATTTTGCCTAAAGATGTTGATCCCCAAAAATCCCACGCCGATTAAAATGTATAATATATACGTAAAACAAATGTCCATAGAGTTTGCATAATTTTGCTAGCTGGTAGCAGAAAAGGGTGGTTGTGAAGAAGCACGTAGGAGAAATAGTGTTCATCGCAGAGGCGCTTATAAGAAAAATCAACTATATATCAATTAGCAAATAATTAAATATCCATACCCTTTCATTCTGATAGTTGCTCACCAGCCTTAATAAGGCCATCTGGAGTTTGGCAGTGAGCAGTGATGTGATTTTACTGTCTATGTAGCACCTCCTAATTGCAGCCTTATCTTTTCTGCCCTAGAGTTGAATGGCTGGTGGTGGATGAGTCAGACAAATTGTTTGAAGATGGGAAGACAGGATTCCGAGACCAGCTGGCTACCATCTTCTTGGCATGTTCCTCCCACGTTGTCAAGAGAGCCATGTTCAGTGCAACGTTCGCGCATGACGTAGAGCAGTGGTGTAAACTCAACCTGGACAATATCATATCTGTATCCATCGGAGCAAGGTGAGTGTTGGGATTAAAGGCTGGCTCTCCCTGATTGAGGGTGGATTGCTCTCGGCAGATGATTCGTTCTCCTTGCCTGGTCTCTACCGCGGAAGGGAAGTCACTTGCCCATTCATTTCCTGCTCTGGAATCAAATTCTTCCCATGGAGTTCCATTGCTCCTCTTCCTATTCTGGGCAGTTTCCATTGCTGTTGCTTACCCTGCTGAAGAAACAAGCAGTTTTTTAGCTAAGCTGAAGCGGCTGCTTGACTTTTTGATATACAAAGTCCTTTGGACTCAACTTTCATCTATCAGATGGTTGTTTAGGTCAGGGCTTTTCAACCTTTTCACCCATTGTACCACTTTTAGGATATGGCAATATCCAAGTACCACCAGTCGCCTAGCAAGGGGTCAAAAACTTGATGACCAAAAAAAAAAAAGAAGAAAAAAAGTGATAAAGTACAGGTAGTCCTCGACTTAAAACAGTTCGCTTAGTAACTGTTCAAAGTTACAGTGGCACTGAAAAAAGTGCCCCCCAAGCCACAGCCGAGTAAGACACCTGCCTGCCCACCTGGCGGCGCTCTTCCTCCTGTCCGAGGTTTTAATTGTTGTGAGAATTTCTGTTGAGGATTGGCAGCGGGGGTGGGTGTTTGGTTTTTATTCTTCCCATCTGTTGGGTGGTTGCAGCAGGTTTTGGTCACTTCACGTGACCCTGGGACAGTATGACCATCATAAATATGAATCAGTTGCCAAGCATCTGAATGTAAATCTCAAGACCCTGGAGATGCTGCAACATTCCAGCTAATCGGCGCTTCTTCTGGGCTCAGCAGAAGTGTCAGGATCAGCACCAGGCTCCAGCTGGAGCCTGGCGCTGATCCTGGTGCTTCCTCTGAGCCGACAGCCCCGAAGAAGTGCCAATCAGCTGAAAAGCGGCACTGATCCTGGCGCTTCCATTGAGCCCGTGCCTGCATCCCGCAGATGGGGCTTCACTTGTTTGCGCAGCCCGGTTTCTGGCATGCCGCAGCCCAGTATCAGTCTACAGACGGGGTTGCGGACCCCTGTCCTAGACCAAGCTAAATCCCAAAATGTTAGAGAATTCCCGGAAGCCTGGCTGTCATGGTTCCGACAGATGAAACTCTTCAAACAACTTTGAGGCATTGTTTACCTTAAAGAATCTTTATTGGAGTAGTATAGCTTTGGCACGAACATAGTGGAAGCCAAAAACTGAGTTCCCCTCCCCTGAGCACATAATATCAAAGCACAATTCCCTCCCCCAATTAACAGTCATAAATCACATTTCCCAATTAGTTTGAAGCACGGGCTTCCCCTCCAGCTCTCCAGCCCGCCAATTCTTTATCATCTCTTATTTCAATAACCTTGTTTCTCACACTAGGTTCAGTAATGTTATGTCTAGCTAAACTCTCATGCACATTCCTCCCCCCAGCATCATCTAACTCTTACTCTGAAGAGTAAAACAAAATAAGAAAATGGTTGCATTTCCATCTGTTGTCAATGCAAAAACATCCGATGTTAGCAGCGATGACACTGGCATTCAGACAAATCAACCATCAATAAACACATTGAGATAAACCATGTTTTCATGCCATTTGAAAAAAAAATAAATTAAGGAAAAAAAAATTAAAAGACCAAAGAGATCTTTTTCATTTTGATATTTTTTCCTTTAAAATGTTTTGCTTCTCATCCGAGAAGCAGCGTGAATTGAAGAAGTCTCTTGGATGAGAAGCGAAACTTTTTCAAAGAAAAAAACTCCCAAGAAAGTCCAGTTTGCCTTTTGAAAAGCATCTTTGGGACGTTTTGACGAAATATGTTTTCTGGACCTCTGGTAACACTTCCTGAATAATAATAATAATAATAATGATGATGATGATGATGATGATGATGATGATGATGATGATGATAAAGTTGGAAGGGACCTTGGAGGTCATCTAGTCCAACCCCCTGCTCAGGCAGGAAACCCTATACCATTTCAGACAAATGGCTGTCCAGTCTCTTCTTAAAAACTTCCAGTGTTTGGCGCATTCACCGCTTCTGGAGGCAGGTTGTTCCACTGGTTAATTGTTCTCACTGTCAGGAAGTTTCTCCTTAGTTCTAGGTTGCTTCTCTCTTTGGTTAGTTTCCACTGGTTGCTTCTTGTCCTGCCCTCAGGGGCTTTGGAGAATAGCTTGACTCCCTCTTCTTTGTGGCAGCCCCTGAGATACTGGAACACTGCTATCATGTCCCCCCTCGTCCTTCTCTTCATTAAACTAGACATACACAAGGCATGCACATACACAATGACACAAGGCAAACGTAGAAATATTATTTATTATTTATTTATTTATCAAATTTGTACCCCGCCCTTCTCCTAGCGGACTCAGGGCGGCTTACAGCCAGTTAAAACAGATAACAATACAAAATACTAAATTTAAAATGTAATTAAAATGAAATATTAATTATTGGCCGTTTCTTTTTAAAATTATTTTAAAACCAAATTAAAATACTCCTTAGGCCAGTCCTGCTAGCTT